CAATCTGCGTTTCCTTTAACATATATCTCTACTGTCACTGGGTTCTTTTTGTGCTAAGTGGGGTGAAAGTTCAATTACAAACAATATTTTCTCTAAATATCTCTAAATGTCTTGTGCTTACCAGGACCTCACCCATTATGGGTTAGTAATGGCAACAAGATTCCATCGCTTATATTCAAACCAGACAGAGAGTAGAGTGCTTCCTTATTCGAGATTAAATTATAGGGGAGTTCTACAAGCTGTCTCGCAAGAGTAAGTGTGTAGGAGTTTGTTGTCTTTACTAGAGTGCCAAATGCATGGAGGCTAAAGAAGTTACTTGGGTAATTTTAATAAGAAATGGGAATTACCATGTTTTTTTATTTGTACATTTTTTGTAGCTTCATTATCATTGGTATTACTATTACTGAGCTAGAGTAGTAGAAAACCATAGTAGTACCACATGACAGGTGACACTTATTGTATTATTAAAGCTCGTAGGGTCTAGAATTTGTTTTATATTATTCAAATATAGACATATATCTAAAATAAGGTTTAGTTATAGTCCCATGCTTTGCAGGATTTAGGACACACACGTCATTGGTCAGATTGTTGTTGGACGTAACAAAGTGCAGGACAGACCACTGGGGTCGGAAGCTGAGCCAGCAAGTTGGCAAAAGACAGCGGCCACCGGGAGGGGGGAGGGAACTAAAAGACTGGAGACTTGTTTTTACGCAGAACAATTGGTAAGGAATTATTAGAAACCAGCAATAGGGAAAATACTACAAAAATACAACTCTCCTTGATTTTGATATAAGGAAGAAAATAATGCATAATAAGCAATTCATATCATAATTTCTTACCTATCAAAAAAAAGTCAGGAAACATTTTGAAAGTGCAGTTACAGATACATAGATTTTATCGTAGTAAATACAGTGGTTCCAGTTTAAAAAAAAAATGTCTACCACAAATTGTGGTTATATTTAAAGTATATATTTCTTTCTTTTCTCTTCATTCTTTCTTAATTTTGGTCCTATGTATAAAACGTCCATAAATTTGCAGGGACAATGTTGTGTGGGACGACACACAGGAGGCAGCAGCACTGGCTAAAGTACAAGAAAACTCTGAGGTAACGCTAACTCCAGAAGATATCCAGAAGTTAGAAGAGGAGGCAGCACACCACTGGGACGCCTTCTATGGCATCCATCAGAACAGGTACTCGAGGATAAGCGCTGAATTGATGACTATGCTGGATGAAAACCACCAGTGTCATATGATAGTTGTAAATTAGATTTTAAGTTTGAATGTGTGAGTGTGTGTGTGTATGTTTGTGTATGTGTAAGAGAGAGAGAGAGAGTGAGACTGTATGTGAATGTGTGTATGTGATTTATTTATTTATTTATATTCATAGAATATTTATACACATTTATTTTAAAAAATTATTCTTATTTTTATATTCATATTTACTAGTGTACATGATAGATATATTTTTCCAGGTTTTTCAAGGATCGCCACTGGCTGTTTACTGAGTTTCCAGAGCTTGCACCACATTTAGCCCATACATTCCCACGGAAGATACAGCCAGGGGAGGATATGGACTCCAACGACATTCCAGCCAGTGACAGTGATGGTAAAGTGCCAGCCGAACCACAGTCAAACGAAGTGGACAAAAGCCAGTGCGATGATTGTCCTGAGAGTAGTACTAATACCAAGAGGCAAAATACACCTGATTGTACAAACTCTCCCAAGGATACACATAAAGTTGAGGATACAGAACAAAGTGAACTAAATGAAGGTGATGAGGCTAACTCCAAAAGCAGTGCAAGCGCAGAAGGCAGAGAAGACCCCAAAAAGAGTAATGTGTTGCGACAGGATGAGTCTTTCCCAGGCGAGAAGTCTAGTTATCGGATTCTGGAAGTGGGATGCGGCGTCGGAAATACAGTGTTCCCAATCCTCAAAGTTAACAATGATCCCGAGCTTTTCGTGTACTGTTGTGATTTTTCAAGCACAGCAGTGGACATTGTGAAAGACTCCCCAGACTATGACACAGACCGGTTAGTACGAGCTCTCTCAATCTAACTCTAAAGTGTTTCAGATTTAATTTTTGCTTGAGCATTTCAGACAGCTTAATAAGTAAACACAATTTCCTTTTTATTATTATTATTATTATTATTATTATTATTATTATATCGCCTTGACATAGACATAGCACAATTAACCAGCTATTAAGCAAAATATTATTTCTTTAGTTGCAGAGCATTTGTTTGTGACATCACGAGCGAAGACTGGGGTGCTCCCTTCCCCAAAAACAGCCTGGATGTCATTGTGTGCATCTTTGTTCTGTCAGCCTTGAATCCAGAGAAGTAGGTGTATGTTCTAGCTTGGAATTTTATCCAACTATGATTTATATATGTTCATGTTTTATCCTTTTAGAGGATTCAAGCCAGAGAGGTTGTAGACAGATCAGCAGAAGGAAGGACAGAGAAAAGCACAAGTATGCTTTTTTCTCTCTCTTATGCTTTTCCATTTCTTTTCTTTTTTTTCTTTCTTTTCTTTTCATTTCTTTCTCTTTCTTTTTGGTTTTCCACTTCTTCCTCTTCTTTCTCTTTCTTTTTGGTTCTCTACTTCTTCCTCTTCTCTCTCTTTCTTTTTGGTTTTCTACTTCTTCCTCTTTTCTCTTTCTTTTTGGTTTTCCACTTCTTCCTCTTCTTTCTCTTTCTTTTGGTTTTCCTCTTCTTCCTCTTCTTTCTCTTCTTTCCACTTTTCTCTTCTTTCTCTTTTTTTTGGTTTCTACTTCTTCCTCTTCTCTCTCTTTCTTTTTGGTTTTCTCTTTCTCTTCTTTTCTCTTTCTTTTTGGTTTTTCTTTTTCCTCTTCTTTCTCTTTCTTTTTGGTTTTTCCATTTCTTCCTCTTCTTTCTCTTTCTTTTTTGGTTTTCTCTTTCTTTCTCTTTCTTTTTGGTTTTCTACTTCTTCCTCTTTTCTCTCTCTTTTTGGTTTTCTACTTCTTCCTCTTCTTTCTCTTTCTTTTTGGTTTTCCTCTTCTTTCTCTTTCTTTTTGGTTTTCCTCTTCTTCCTCTTCTTTCTCTTTCTTTTTGGTTTTCATCTTCTTCCTCTTCTTTCTCTTTCTTTTGGTTTTCATCTTCTTCCTCTTCTTTCTCTTTCTTTTTGGTTTTCTACTTCTTCCTCTTCTTCATGATAATCTTCCTCTTTTTCTTCTTCACTATCATCATATTCTTCTTTATCTTCTTCCACAATCATATTTTCCTTTGCTCTTCTCTTCCTTGTTTTGTTACAACATGATCTATCCATGTACTAATCAGATGATGTTCATTGTGATAAAGGCTTATTTGGGAGTGATCATGGATTCCAGTTATTTATAAAGACTTATCAATAATTAAGAGGTCTGCTAAATTATAATGTTAATATAAAGAAGGCAAGAGAAGAATTTTTAGGTGCTCTAAACAAATGAAGGAATTGAGGTCAGTATTTTTCCTTCAGACAACCATTTCGTACTAACATTAAGTGGCATCCCTTCCTCCCTCCCTTCCTTCCTTCTTTCCTTCCTCCCTTCTTCTCTCTCTTCTGCTCTCCCTCCCTCCTTTCCTCTCTCTCTCTCTCTCTCTCCTTCTATCCCTTTCTTGCTTCATCTCTCTCTCTCTCTCTCTCTCCTTCTGTCCTTTCTTCCTTCATCTCTCTCTCTCTCTCCTTCTCTTTCTCTCTTCTCTCTCTCTCTCTCTCTCTCTCTCTCTCTTCTCTCTCTCTCTCTTCTCTCTCTCTCTCTCTCTCTCTCTCTCTCTCTCTCTCTCTCTCTCTCTCTCTCTCTCTCTCTCTCTCTCTCTCTCCACCCCTCTCCCTCTCCTCTTCCTCTCCCTCCCCCCTCCCCTCTTCCTCTTCCTCTTCCCTCCCTCCCTCCCCTCCTCCCATCATCTACCCTCTCTCCCTCTCCCTTCCTCCCTTCATCTACCCCTCTTTCCTACTTTCCCTCCCTTCCTCTCCCTCTCCTCCCCACCCTCCCTCCTTCTCTTGCCCTCTCTCTCCCTCCCTCCCTTCTCTTCACCCTCTCTCCCTCTCTCCTCCCTTTCTTCCTTCATCTCTTTTTCTCTATCCCTCCCTTTCTTCCTTCATCTCTTTTTCTCTCTCCCTCTCCTTCTTCCTTCCCCTCCTTCATCTACCCCTCTCTTTTTCTCCCTCCTTCCTTCCTTCCTTCATCTACCCCTCACTCCCTCTCCTCCTCTCCTTCCTTCCTTCCTTCCTTCCTTCCTTCCTTCATCTACCCCTCTCTTCCTCTCCCTCCCCCTCCCCCACCTTGATTACCAGCTTGCAAATTTGAAGTTCTTTGTCTTTACTAGGTTTGAGCACACTGTGAGGATGATGGCTGACTACCTACGTCCAGGAGGCCTGATCCTGTTCCGAGACTATGGCCGTTATGACTTGGCACAACTCCGTTTCAAGAAGGGGCGCTGCCTGTCTGAGAACTTTTACACCCGCGGAGATGGTACTCGCTGTTACTTCTTTACACAAGGTGAGCTTCTGTCTTTTGATTTGGTGAAGAACAATCGGTTTTAAGATCGGATACAGTTAATTTTTTCATGAAACTCTAGAGTTGGATTGAAGCAAGTGGAAGCTCTAGAGCTATATGCTCGATAGATCTTGCACAGAAAGTAAATATAATTCCTCTCCATCTCTTTTGTATCTCACTCACACACTCACACACACACGCACCCACACACACACACACACACACCACACACACACACACACACACACACACACTCACTCACTCACTCACTCACTCACTCACTCACTCACTCACTCACACTCACTCACTCACTCACTCACTCACTCACTCTCTCTCACTCTCTCTCTCTCTCTCTCTCTCTCTCTCTCCTCTCTCTCTCTCTCTCTCTCTCTCTCTCTCTCTCTCTCTCTCTCTCTCTCTCTCTCTCTCTCTCTCATTTATATTGTATATTTCATTATTTTTCCAGATGATGTACGAAAGCTTATGACAGACGCCGGCCTCGAGGAGGTACAGAATTTGGTAGACAGACGTCTGCAAGTGAACAGAGGCAAGCAGCTGACAATGTATAGAGTGTGGGTTCAGACAAAGTATAGAAAGCCAGCGGTACAAGATACACAGCAGATATCCGTACAGTCATGACCCACATTTGGTTAATATAAATAGCTCTTTATATGTGATGTTGGTATTATTTGATTGTTATCTGTGTCAATATTTGATACAAGCGGTAATAGAGTGAAGAAATTAAATGGAAATGTAATGTAATAGTGTGAGGGAAAGCGATGAGAATCTTAGAAATATTTCTCTGATAATGCTATTTTGGGTTTATGCGAGAAAGTCGGTTTACTCGACTGATTAAGGAAAAAGATCCAGTGGCCCTATATATATATCCGTTACATATGATGATATTGTAAATTCATTCGCACATTTTTATAATTGTCTTTTTAATAATATAAATCATAAATGCAGGTCAGCAAGAAAATGTAAGCTATAGAAAGTTAATATGGAAATAAAATAATGCAATGAGCAGAAAATGCAAATTGTAAGAATTATCTTTGAAAAATTTTTAATTACCCTTTTGATGGAATTGCACATTGTGTAGTCCCGCTTAAAGGCATTTTTCAACCCTACCCAGGTGATCTGTTGTCATTTTTATTCCCTTTTCTCAGTTCAAGTCATAGGAACAAATAGTCATCTTTCTTTTGTTTCCTTTTCCTTCACTATCCAAAATTAGTTTCTTGGGCAAGTCAATACACAAGAGATAAAGATTGTTCACATTGCAACAAATATAAAAAGAAAAAGTGTGAATGTGAAGGAATATCTTCATACTCCAAGAGATATATATATAAACTTGTATCAATTATATGTTTCGAGAAATACACCTGAATAGTGATGGACCTCTGTTCAGGTAAATGTGTATCCACAACCGGCCATATTCCAGGAAGTTCACCCTATTTGGATCCTGACACATTTTGGTTTATTATGGATAGACCATGGACGATTACATTTATTTTCAGTACTTTAAGGTGCACCATATATTTTGCAACCATGCCTGTGTCCTTTTCATTCACTGCGATGTTATCCTTTCATTAAGATTTCTAGAGAATTTGAACAATGAATTGCACAAGGAAATATATTGGTATTATTTATTTATTAAACATTTTCTGCCACTTCAACATCTCATGACATTAGTGGCATATACAAAATATAGCAATAGAGTAAGGCTTATGAGCAAAGCCCCGGTAACAAAAGTTCATACAGCATTATGATAAAAGTATTGGGCAAAAAGAATAAAAAATTGTTAATTATTACAAAATATGCTAGACAAAAAACAGTTTTTCATCCTTTTCACACGGCTCACACACTCTGGGATGTGGACAGAAGAAGGGGATGAAGAAAAGAATGAAATGGAAAGGAGGAGGAGAAAAGACCATGCAAAATTAGTTGAGGCGAGGGCTGAGGTCCAAGGCAGGGGGAATCCCCCACATTGGGCCTCATTCTCTGTCTCTATGATGATAATAAGCATGGGACTGAGATGGTATTATGCATCTTCTCAGTTTAGAAAATTCAATAAAGACCATATGTAAAGTATGATTGAGAGGGACAACTATTCATAAATATATGATGACATATAAAACCAATGTGGAATAATTAAAACAATGTAAACTCTATCAGTAAACTGAATAAGATTAAATCACAACCAGGACACATTGCACTTATGCGGTTGAAGGGCCTCCTCCTTGACAAAGTCTCTTTTGTTGGCACTTATTTTTATAGTCAAGCAGAAATTGCATGCTAGCCCTAAAGTACTCATCTTTAGAAGCTGGACACATTCCTTCACTTAGTGTATTAAACATCAATTCCAGAACATCACCTATGTCACTCTTAGCTTGTTTCGCTCTCTGCCTATCAAGTTCCCTTTCTACAATTTCATTAATTTTGTTAATAGACGCATCCAACGCACTTTCTGCCTCTCTTTTCTTATTGCACCTGCCACCTGCTTTTCCTCTACATGTTGAGGTGGAAGCAAGCACTGGTGGTGGTGACGGTGACCGAGAACATGATGGAATAGCTGGTGGTGATGGCGAACAGGGAGAAGTATTTAAAACTGCAGGTGATTCTACGAGCTCCTCTACTTTAACAAGTGGAACACCTTCAATGGGATCTCCAGAAGACTCTTCTTTTATGACAACAGATGCATTTTCTTCTTTTGGTGCATTCTCAAGGATGGTTGCATTGGTAGTGTGCATCTGAAAAGACAAGACATATATATAACAAAAAAAGAAAAGAAAAAATGAAATTGATATATACTTCTAAATACATGCATATATGCACACATGATTTTCTTTTCTTTTTTTGGGGGGATGTGCATGTGTGCATGCGCATATTTAAGTACATATACATTTACATATTTATGTATGTATACACATGTACATAAACATGTATATGTTTACATATTTATGTTTGAATACATATATGTATAATTTGCAGGATTAAACAAAGCCTGCTTACAGAATCCACATCATCAATAATTATCTATTCAGCAACCATACTATCAAAATTATCATATAAATCTAAACCAATAGCTAAACTAGATAAAAATAGGTCAAGAACCTATCATTTCATATTTTTAAAATTATGAAATTTAATACTGAAAAGAAAAGCCAAAGAGAAAGGTATGCACAAATATAGGAAGCTCCTCAATAACAGAAGTTAAGATTATTACAAAATATGAATTGAGAACTACAAAAACTTTCCTCCAGCATCTCAGACATATACACTTGAGAGAAGGATAAAACGTATTCATGGTAACAAATGTAGAAAAGGTATGAATGAAAAGGAATATCTTCACAATACAAGAGATGTATTTGGCCATTTTCGAATATATCTTCGTCAGAAATATATCTGAAACCAGTCAAATACAGCTATTGTATTGTTCATTCATTCACATTCACACCTTTTCTACAGATACACTTAAATTTATAATAACTGGAGAGAAAGAAGAAGTCTCACCTCTCTGTTCTTAAAGGGAGTTTCAAATTACTTTTACCGCTCAAATACTTCGTTGGTTGCATGTAGGAGCAGTTGTCAAAGTACTTCCATATGGAGTTTGGCTGGCCAGCTGATCCCCCAGGCGTATTTTCCATCTTCTTCAGGTCTCATTGGTGATATGTCCTCAAATGATTAAATTTATTCTTTGCAAGATCTGGAATACGTCAGGTCTTTTAGTTTAGGCTTAGCATACATTTTTAAATATAAGGTCTCGTTCATAATATATAAGAAGTACAGGTATGCTAATAAGTATCATAGATCCATGCATGCACACACCAGGACAGTAAACCTCCACAGGATACATTTTCCCTCAATAATGGTGGTTTCAATGTATTGGCCTTTTACGAAGTGCCAAAAGCCCTCACCAGAGGTTCTAATCTCCATATTTAAGATTGAAAGAAAGACACTACACACAGGCCATATAATACCTATAATATTAATATAGATGTCTAGCACGTTTATTTGCTTCAACCATTAACCTTTATAATAATACGAATAGTTTGGACTGGAAGAAGTGATCTTAACCACCATCACCTTCGTTTTCTCTATATTCTATCCACACAGACTTATTATATACACAAAACTAACATAATAATAAATATCTTTTTTACAAGGCAGAACAAATACCAATCAGGCCTACAGGAGTACATTTAGTACTATTTCTACTACTAATGTTGTCTCTAATTATAGTATTGTGGTCTTAATAGCAATAAAACACTAATAACAATTACAAATAAATACCTGGTGTGAGGTTTTCCATCTCGACGAACTCATATGTATGATAGTATGTGATGGTGGGAATCCGCATTCTTGATATTTTCCTTAAATTCTGGGCATTCGGAGTCCCAGATGCAGGGAAATTCCCTCATTTTCTCGACCAGCGATATTATGCTCCTCTCTGTCCATAATAAAGAGCAGGGCATGTTGATTTTGAGGCGTTTTTTGCGTGAATAAATGCAGGGAAGCGTCTTTGCGAAATTCGGAAGACGCGCTCTTGTAAACAATGATGACGTCACGGATACTCAAATGAACTTCCGTGGAAAAAATAATAAGCACACTCCAATCAGTTTTCTTGAGAACGGATCTGGCAACCAAATATAGTATGAGGAAAGATCAAATCATTACCTTTAAAAATGTGAAGGTTGTTGTACTAGAGAAAAAGCGTGAACAGCCCAAAAAACCTTTCTTTAGAATTGAATTTTTTTTTAAACTCACTGTATCAAGAATATGACTTAAGAGAAAAGGAAACGAGAACCTCAATTCAAACTCGCTTTTCCAAGAATGCATATAACTCCGTCTACCCGTACCATAGGCGTAGGAAGGTACTCTGAAGCAAGGTCTATATAAGTGGACCTTGCTATAAGTACTTATATAGACCTTGCTCTGTAGGGAGCGGGGGGGGGGGGGAGTAGGTTCCCCTAAAAAATAGCATGGGGCACTGGGGGCTGTGTTCCCCCACCGGGGCGTGAAGCTTCTAGAAGCTCCTGGATTTCAGGCGTGGTCTGGCCCGGGGGAAGGGGGGGGGGATTTGCGATCACCACCCGGGCCCCCTGATGTGTAAGGTCAAGAAAAATTACGGGCCCTTTCCGAGAAGGCTGAAGAAGACAATTTTCATAAACTGAAGTATTACAGTCATAACCAGGGCCCCACAATAATCGCTATCTACACTTCAAATTTCACGCAAAGGGATATTGTAGAGAAATATTTTGAAACGGTTTGCAGAGATCAAGGACCTATTGTCTTTAAGCATTAGCCGGGAGTATATAAGTTGACAGTAAAGAATGTTTGATTCAATAAAGTACAAAACCATGTAAAGTGCAAGCATAGTTTCCCTTCGGCATATCTTTCAGTCAATGCAAATATCGACTGAGCGTATTTAAGGTGATTCCTTTAGAAGTGAGTGTAGCCACAATAATAATCTAATCTGTTACATCCTAAATCGGGCGCTTTTGGTTT